GATTAGAAAACAGGCCAACACATTTTTTTTTTTTTTTTACAGAGTTCTTTGGATCAAAGTGAGGGAAATAAAAAGAATGTGAACCTTTTAGTTTTGGGTTTGATGGGAGGTTACTGAACTGAAAATCCCTAACCTTGATAACGGATGGATGGATGGATGGATATCTGGAGAGGGTTAGAAGGAAATGGCACTCAGAAAAGGTGCAGGAAGCATCCCAGGATAGAAGCAATGGAGTTCTTACATAATAGGAGCTTGACTTTTTGGTCTCTGGCTGCAGGAAAAAGGAGAGATTGGGTGTATCATAGAATGTACGGCATGATCCTCAACTGTGTGTTCTGCCCAGAGGCAGGTTCTGCCGACCAGTGTGTGATTCATTCAGATGTTAATTTTAGAAATGGGCATCTTGCTTATGAACAGCTCTTCTGTGTTTGGAAGTATTGTGGCTTTTTTGAAAAGTTAGTTGAGCATGCAGGGTTTTACAGAATGTTCTTATCTTCCTACAACATTTGTTGTTCTTGCTCTTATAGGTGCGAAATGATTTATCCTAAAGAAGACGAATTGTTTTATGACTGCAGATGAATTTGACAGAACAGGCCAGAAGTGTTCTCAATATATAACTTGCTAATCCAGTGGCAAGTGGTAACAAGCAATCTAGTCTGCTGGTGTCGATAAAGGGCAGCTGGTAGCCAAGTGATGACTAAAGCACATTGTTAATTGCAGACACTTTAAGTGGGTAAATTATTTTAGGTGGCCCACATTTTCAACTTGCTTTATTGGCTTACCTTAATTCCAGTATTAGTTGAGCACAGTTGAAATTGATTTGTGCAGTGCAGTAGAAAGGGAATACTCCCTGTCACTTGCAATATAATGCATTACACTTTGCAGTTGTAGTGTTTTGTTTCAGGCTCTAGGATTCCTCCTTTCTCTCTCTGGGCAAACATTTTGACTCCACCCACTGGCAGTCATATTTCCATTTTAGCTGAGACATCTCATCCAGATAAAGCATCTTGCAGCATGTCAGTTGTGTTGTCAGTAGCAGATTAGTGAGATCTAGTCAGATTATGTGTTTGTGGACGAGTGTGTTAGTGAAGGAGGCTGACAGACAGACAGGCAGGCTGGAAGTGTGTTTGGGTGGCTTTTGTCCAGGGAGTCTTGCAGGCCTCTTGCATCATGGTTCCCTCCCCTCAATCAGGAGTGTCAGGGGAGAGGAAGGGACGTAAACCTAGTGGGCCGGACATTCTGACTCCTGCTATGCTGTAACAGAAGTGGGTTAGCTGCAGGAGTCGCTCAAGTCAAATTACAGGTTCGACCTATTGCTGCCTGGACCACATGTTTTCACTCAGCGGTAGTGACGAGGCATGCTTTTTAAGCTACGGTATTTGGGAATAGTGTGTAGGCTTTTGTTAAGTATGAAAGGAAACAAGTAACCTGAAAGCTGAGAAATATTTTAGCTATGAACCAGCAGCATTAACTAGAAAATGGATTATGACTATAGTAGCTGGGCTGTCTTACAATAACCAGTTAGACTAAATTTGTTTATTTGAAATTTAGTTGCCAGATATTTGGCTTTTGACATTTACTGACATAATCTTTGAGACACGGTTTCAGATTTTAAAGTTGGGGTGAAGTAGAATTAAATGTGTTTTGAACTTGGCGCACCACAGGAAGATGTTATTAACCACTCAGCCACATTTGAATGATTAAAAAGATCAAGCATAGCTAGTTGGCTGGCAGACTGTAGGCTATAGTAGGTGTAGTAACTCATAATCAAACAGGAGAGCTGGTGTTAATGCACTAGGGCTCTACTGAAGCATTTTATCAAAGACCACTGAGTGAGATTAAAAATATAGTTGTGGTGTTTATGGAGCTGCTTCTTGTGTTAATGCTTGAATAAGAGCAGGTGGTGCTCAGCTCCTACACACACACATCAGGAGCAGACAGCTGCTGTTATGCACTGGAGACAGGGAGCCCAGGAGAAGTGAAACTAAAGTTTACAATACCTGTGCCCGTTAATGTTTGTGTAATAAATCCTTCTCGAGTAAAAAGCCAGTGGGAGTAATTTAACAAAACACCTGCTAAACAAGCGGAAGCTTGCAGAGAAATGAAAATGTAAGCTTTGTCCACAGTCTGCGAGCTTGTGAGAGTAACAGCAAAGAGCTGACTGTAGTAATCTGTCCAGTGCAGCAGCTTCACAATCTGCTATGTAGCCGGTAGCTCCCTCGCATCTCTCTCCCTCCATCACCTATGGTCAGGTCTGACCCTCTCTAACACATTCACCGTTTATTTAATACTGAAGCAGTAGAATTAATGTTATTTCTTAAATAAAAACAACAGTGGCTCTAAATTCTTGTCTGTGCTCAGTCTCACAAGTACCCCTAAGAACAAATGCAGGCATAGAGCTATGTGTGCTCTAGGATTTATAATGTTACAGTGTCGGGGAGAAGGGTTTTGTTAAGGATGGCTCCATTGTGTCATCGAGCAAAGCTTTCTGCCCCGCCCAAAAAATCCTGACTCAAAAAAGATGAAATGGTCCCCAATTCAGCACTACATAGTTCTCAGTCCTTTCACATGACATCAGCAACTATTTTCTAACACTGGTAATGTGTTTAGAAGCAAATCACGGAATTTTTTTTTAACCCGGACTTTAAAAAGTACAATATATTTACAGTCCTCAGTCATGTGTACCAATGCATTTTGACCTATCTATGTTGGTGGCACAGATAAATATGTTTACTAGGGCGAAGTCTGTCTGTCTTTCTCTTTCACTTTGTATTTTAAAGTGATACTCCACCCAGATCTCTACTCGGCATCAAATACTCATTTAATTTTCCATATGTTCTTAAAAATATTAGCAGTAATGTCAGTATTGTTAAGATCTGATCAGTGCCTAATTGAGCTGGTCTCTTGTCTTTGGTTTTATTCAATAAATCTTGTAATTATGTGCAATGCAGTCTTATTTATTATCAAATTGGGTTCAGATGTCCTCTGTATATAAACTTAGATACATATTCACCAAACTTACCTTTGGATGGTTTAAAATCAGCATGTTAAATTCCTAACTCTTGTGCCTAAATGGGCACACTCCAACCTATTTCTGCCATTAGATTTTTGGGTAATACTGTATCCAAGAAGGATTCGCCATTTAAAGAGTTGGCTCAAAAAGGCAAGTGAATTTGGCTTTGTGGGCAGTCCCCAACTACATTCCCAAAGCTCCTGAGGAAGTAGGCCAAAGCTTCCTGTGTGTATCCCCACTACCACCCCCAAAGCCGCTGCTTTGTGAAACACAACCAGTGAAGGATACATGTAGTAAACTAATACATGATTTATAACAAAAGTGCAAACCAGCTGGATACCGGTTGGGAACAGACCATTTTTATTTAGTAAGAGGAGCCAAGGAGCAGGTTAACTTAAAGCTACTCTACCCTGTTTCTTTTCAGCTGCTAGAGGGTCTACTGATACTCAGAACAAACCAACACAATAAGCAGCTCCTGGTTGCTCTTTGCTCCTCCCATCATGTCCTGTTTCCTAGTGACAACATAAACTACAGGTGCCTGGTTGCGACAAATTGTACAAAATACAGCATCCAGTCTGAAACTAGCTTTAGCTGAGGGTGTAAATCTGGTAATTCAGTCAAATCGAATGACTCTGGAAATTATAATATTTTTAATTCAATACAAGAATAAAATCATGTTTCTGTTAGGTTGCTAATGTTAAAACTGATAGCTTTTATTGCTTCATTAATGGTTTGAATTTTTATATTCTTTTTTTTACACTAGTGGTGAAAGCCTTCCAAGAGTACACAGAACCAGAGGATGCCAACCCATCCTCCCCACAGAGACGGGCTCCAACAGTAGGTGAAGATGAGGCCGTTCTGCTACCACTTGGGGACAACATACTCACAAACAACCTGGGCATTCCAGTGCTAATAGTTTGCACAAAGGTAAATAATTCTTACAACCTCAGAAGTCTTACTCTATGTGTGAAGCCACAGCCTCTCCATAGACAGACCCTCTCTAGACTAATGTTTTGGTGTTGCTATAAGAAGTTCTCCCATTCTGTCAAAGCATTTCAGAGGTACTTGTGTTTGTCTATTATGGACCATCTGTTTGTAGCAACTTCTGCAGTCATAGCCCGTCTAGCCTGTAGGTACCTCTCTCTACTTAGCTCTGAGTTGCCTGAAGCGGCCGCCCTCACTGCTGGTTTTCTTTGATCGGTTCTTAACTTGCTACCATGACCAGCACATTTGTCCTCAGACCCCATGTATTTTAGCTGTGGCACCTCATCCAGATAAAGCATCTTGCTGCATGTCAGTCATGATGGCAGTAATCGTATCCTTTTATGCTGTGTTTTGTGAGGCAGTACCCGCTAATAAAAAGAAGCCATTGTACTTGTAAACCCTCCAAGCAAAGACTAGTCTAAAAACACTGTAGCCACCAGCAAAGGTTCACATGCTAGATGTGAATAAAAAATGGTGAGTATCCTTTTATTTATCTTTGGTGCCTCTGTCAGAGAACAAGTATTCAGCTCTGTCATAGAAGAGAGGGGGAGCGTCTCAATATGCACTGCACCTGAATCTCTCCCTGTCAGTGTGGATCAACAGATTTTTAGGAATAGAATGTAGAATGGTCTCAAGATGCAGGGAGCAGAGTTGAATTCTTTCATATGTGTGAATCCTGACATTTTACTGTCTGTATCATAAAATTATTATTTCTCTCAATCTTGTATTCTTCAGTGTGATGCAGTCAGCGTACTAGAGAAGGAGCACGACTATAGAGAGGAGCACTTCGATTTCATCCAGTCCCACATCAGACGATTTTGCTTACAGTGTATCCTTTAAATGCATGATTGTTTGTAATTCTGGAGCAGTTGTTATATTTATAACATTGACTGTTCAAGCAGAAATAGCCCAAGTTACTTATTGATTATATGTCATTATCCCAACAATTGCTTCCATAACTGAGTTAAACAGATGGTGCTGGCCTGATCTATACTTCAGTCAAAGAGGAGAAAAACCTGGATCTGCTGTACAAATATATAGTACATAAGATGTATGACTTTCAGTTCACTACACCTGCCTTAGTGGTGGAGAAGGATGCAGTGTTCATGTAAGTGAAGCTAAGGATGTGCTAGTTTATTTGGTTTATTGTAGTTCCTTGTTTTTTTTATTTAAGTAATATTATTGCCAATTATCTTTTTTTTAGTTTTTGTTATCAGCGACTTACAAAAGCCACATTCCTAATTTATGCTCTACATAATTATCTAGAACAGAATTTATATCATTGCACCCTCTGTAATTGAACTGTCTTCTTTTCTTTCAGTCCAGCTGGATGGGATAATGACAAGAAAATTGGGATTTTGCACGAAAACCTCACAGCGGTCAGACCTGAAGATCCATTTGAAGATTTTATCACAAAGCCTCCAGTACGAAAGGTATGGTCATGCAAAGACTGTGAAAATGTAAAGCCTGACTTTATAACCCATTGTGCCAGTTAAATGACTACATGCAACAAGAAGTATTTCAGAGCTTATTGTCTTTTTTTGATGTCTTTCTCCTTTGTTCACCTTCACAGCTGGTTCATGACAAAGAGATAAATGCAGAGGATGAGCAGGTTTTCCTGATGAAGCAACAGGTTATGTGTCAGTCTTCTAGCATGTTTTTTGATTTCTGTATCCAGCCACTGGGATTGACAGTATATTTTGGTGAACACTGAAGCTCCCACATGAAAAGTACTTTCTATTTATGAATAGCTATATTAAATTTTGTTCAGGAGTTGTCCCGGACTTGATGGAAACTGGCGACTCTTAGCTTGCAGGTTTTCAAATAGCATAAATATTGTTTCAAACTGGTTTTCAAAAAAAATCCAAAATGTGTCCATTGTGTGTGTGTGTGTGTGTGTGTTTGCAGTATTTGTTTTATTGCGCATAGGAACCTATTTGAATTGTAAATATTCTTTCAAATTTTATTTCGCTGCAGTCTTTGTTAGCGAAGCAGCCAGCCACGCCAACAAGAGGACCAACAGTAAGTGTCTTTTAACATTCCTCAAATGGAGAATCTTTGCTGATGGATATACTCTTAAACTGTATCCTTTTTCTTCTGGATAGACAAACTAAGCGATCTGCTTGTGGTCATAGTCTTGCTCTGGTGTCTGTCTTGCAGGAGTCTCCAGGACGACCAGCCTCTGTGTCTCCCAGGCCTGCGGGTCGCGCTGGCCAACCCACCGTGACCAGTGGCTCACCAATGACTGCTGTCAAAAAGCCTGACCCTAACATGAAAGGTGGGAGCTGTATGAAACATCATTTAACTTCATATTACACTATATCATTTCATATCTAATTACTGAGAATCAATTTTTGCTGCAGTGCTCCCTAGTATGGCTTGTCTGTCCCAGTCCTTTCTACTCTTTAATCATCTGCATTTATTGAAATTGATGTTTTGACCCCACAAAAGCTACTTTGATTGCTGTCCTTTCTGTTTATCTTAGACCTTTTGGCTGTAGGTGAACACTTTAGTCCTGAAGTTCAATACTGCCTCCAAGTGGTAATGGATAAAATCATTCACATAGCAATAGATTCTACTATCAACTACTGTGCACTACACCACTCTTTGACAGAGGATAAATGGCTTTTGTCCTCATTTTTGGAGATGAAGAAACCGCTCTGTGTGACAGGAACTCTATATAGCTGTTTTAAAAGAAGTAACTGAAGGTATCACAGCTGCTAATTTGAAACCACAACCTTAATAGGGGGCGTTGGGCATTAAGCAAATTAATCGGTTAACAATCCTGTGTTCTTAGTGTCGATACAGCAACTAAGTAATGAAGTGTTAACTTCTGTTTTTAATTTTGTTAGTAGATTTCAAAGTGAGTTTAAGTTCCCTGTTTCTCCTGCAGCAGGGGCTGCCAATGAGGGAGTGCTGGCTAACTTCTTCAACAGTCTGTTGAGTAAAAAGACTGGAGCTCCTGGGAGCCCCGGAACTGGAGCAGTGGGAGCTGGAGTGCAAGGGTCTGCCAAGAAAACAGGTACAGCCTCTTATTCCAGTGCTCTCACCTCAGATGAAAACAGCAGCCTCTCTGTTTTCAGACTGTCTTCCTAGCAGATTAGCAGTCATTCCTTTTACCAGAATGGTTACAAAGCATTATTGCTGACTGTAGCATCTTGTGCATTTAGAGCCATCTCAGGCCATGGGCTGAATGCACTTTAGAGTCAAAACAAGACAAGAAGAATTAGAAACAGGGCCTTTTCTTGATAGAAGCTATGGACCATTTTGCTGTCTGGAGTTTTATCTCTGCAGCCTGACAGTGAAGGTTAAAACAGGAGAAAAAGAAATTGTCTTCTTTGACTGAACTGACATCTGAGGAAACTTGTGACAGGCCTGTATGCCCCAAACCTCCAACCATAACTGCCCACATAAAACTAATCTCACTCACTCCACGTCATTTCCCACTGCTGTCTTGCTCAATGGTTATTACTCAAATAACCTCAGCAGTTTCGCATGTGAACAGCACTTTATTTACTTTGTTATATTTGATAAATATAGCAAAGTCAAAGTGCTTGTGAAATAGCTGAATGTACCCAGTGAAAGGTTGAAGAAAACATCACATTACTTACCTCTGTCTCTGAGACCACTGGCATGTGTTCTTTGTTCCAGCGCTGAGCAATGGTAACATCTCTGTGAGATCCAGCTGAAAGGATAATGCATGAGTACATGTTCCCTTTGTCTGATGATTAGTTTGGCATGTGTGTTAACTGTGGCAGCGAGCCACCGTTCTCCCGCATGGGACCACATCACTATCCAAACCATGTCCATCTGCTTGCGGGCCAGTGAAAACAGTTTTTATGAAAACCCAGAGAAGCTACAGGAGATTACTTTTGGACTTTCTCTCCTGTTTTTTCCAAGGGCAGAAGCCGGGTTTGACTGATGTCCAGGCTGAGTTGGACAGGATGACTCGCAAGCAAGACTCCATGGTTTCAGCTAACAACATCCCACCGCCAACAGAGAACGAAGCGTGAAGACAACAAAAAAGGCTGCATCATCCACTGCTTAATACTCTGGAAAAATACATGTACATGTGAGCATAAGAAATGACCAAATTCCCTATGTCTGTATCAGTCAGCACACAGTGGTTTCACCAAAACGAGTTTCAAATGCTATCAGATATTTTGGTGAGATGGGAAGAGAGAGACAACAGAGGTAGAGGTGTTCATGTGATAAGTGCTGAGGGCTTGGCTTTATTTCTGTCCTCTCTTCCACTGTAAATGTTATGTTGTGAGGGATGTCAGTTTATGAAAATGTGTGCACACTCCCTGGCAACCAGCCTAATGTGCTGGGCTGTGGGTCCCCCCAGTTAGTGGGGTAAAAAAACCCTTTCCTCATGGGTTTAAAGAGTGGAAATATACCAGTCCTGTAGCCTGTGGTTCAGCTAATGTCATGGATGGAATCTGGTTGTGATTGGGAAGGTATTTAAACTTTGAATATATTCATTTCGAACATTAATAAAAATACTTGCAAGCTTATGAAGTATGTAAAAAACAAAAACAAAAAGTTGGATATGATATTGATGTATTTATACAAAGTTCCTCCTTTTTGTTTTATTTTGTGCACCATTTTATTGGTTTAAGGAAACCTGTGTCGCATAACGTGTTCAAATGCCACTGATGTCATAACACTAATATGACGAGTCCTGATAGCTGACAGCATATCATATCATTTGCCCTAGTCATCTCAAAAGATTCTGTAAATATAAATGCAAAAAAATCTATTCAGGTTACCTGGGATTTTGTATAAAATGCAGTTCTGTCCAAATTCTGAAAATGGCTTCTGTGGCTAAATGAGGCTGGGATTTGACAGGCTTAAAGGTTGCAATAGATTTGCTTCTTTAGCTACAGGTGTGTATATTTGGGGAGGGGGCTGGGCAGCATCTTTCCTACTATAACTCCTAAGTGCCTCGCACAGTTAACTGTTTGTGTCATAGTAGAGGTGCTTGTCTACATAAGAAGAAATGCACTGTAGCACCGTTGGTTAAAAGGTTTTTGTCCAGTTCTTGTCATCCAAATAATTTATTTTTTGTTTTTGTTAATGTACAACAAACACCTGTGGTCTCTCTCTTTCTTTTTTTGTTTTTGTTTTGTTAAAGATTTCTGTGCCCCATTTGATAGTGTTAATAGAGCGAGATTGAATGCCTTCATGCAAACTGCAAAGGCTGCTGATATTAAGAGGAAACCACATGATGGATTTTTTTTGGGGTACCCCAAATGAACACTTTTTGTGACTGAAACCACTCACTTTGCAGCCAAAGCACACAATGACTTACTGTTTCTGAGATAGTTTGACAGCACCGTCTTCCTTTAGGTCCACATGTTTTAGTCACCCTGTGCTTTACATGTCATTTAAAACATTCCCAGTTTCTACATGAAGTAGCTGTAGAAACACACCGCTGTTGGAAACCTGTTTGTCCAGTCAGGTCTTTTTTTGTTCAGTCTCTTTCAGCGCCCATTTAAAATCACGACCTTTGCCTTCAATGTAAAGCTCACAGTTTGTCACAGTGGGCGCCATGCCTTCACAGGAATGCTCCTAATGTGTGTCCTTAAGGGGTTGCTTAATTGTCCTTTATAATTTTTGTTTTCTAATTGAAAACATTATAGTGTACCGTATCAGATAAGTTGTTATATTTATGGTTTCATGAAACCATAATCTAAACAAGTTCATTAAGCGTGATCATTTTTCAAGTCGGTGTTTAAGACCTTACTTAATCCTATGGATAGTATACATCTGTAGCTTTCACAGGATTAGTTGCAAGTGTGAAGAGAACAGCTATTTGTTGTTCAAATGACGATAGCAAGGAAGGGAAACTGGAGTGAATTGGGACATGGAACCAAAGATGCATAGTAGTTACTATTTTCAGCTTTTATAGTTGGTCGTCATCCACAGGATTAACCAGTGGCCATGTTTGGGCCTACTCTACTCATGGAGCCATTCCACACTTAAGGGACGCTTGTAAACTTTTTTCACTAATGCCCTGTTAAAATGGTAGAGATGTCGTGCACCACTCAAACATATTTGGGGTTTCAAGAGTCAAAGAGGGGGAAAAAAGCCGTAATTGTGTTATAGTGGATTATGGTAAATTCTCTAAACTAGTCTACAAATCCAATGCGGTTGCAGGGTTTGCTTCATTTTCTAAACCATTTGCTCTGTAAGGGAATAACCACAAGACCATGTAGGTGTACAGCCTATGCATGATTTGCTTTGTTGTCAAAATGATGCTACTCAGCTGTTCTGGATTACATTCTGAGTAAAAGGGTTTTATTGTTTTTATTTTTCATCATTTCTCCTTTTTCCTGTGACTGAGTTGAATGTGCACCCGAGGGTCCGTTGCCGAAGCGGATGAAGCACAATTTAAGAACAGCCACATGTTGAAATAAGCACTTTTCTTTGGACATTTGTAACAGTTCCCTGTTGCTATGGTTTAAGATAAAGAATGCACATTTTTCTTTTTGCCTTGCCTTTTTAAGAACATTTAATAATGACCTGAGAAGTTAACCTACACCGTAAAACTGCATTATTTATCTGCATTTGCTGCTTAAATTATGGAAAGTACCCCTGTGTGTTCACAATGGATTTAATTCCTTTCCGGTGGTGAGATTGTAAAATGAATATCACTCTTATAGAAATCACTGTCATTACAGTTTTGGTAGGGATATTTCTGGGGACATCTTGAAGCAGATAAACGTTTTGCCCATGAAACCGGTTTCTGTTCACATCCTACTTAGCATGTTTTATTTTTGTTGTCAAATATAGTTTTGCCCAGAGAGACTTTTGGATTAAAATCATTTAGAAATGCCACTAGCCTGACTGACCATGCCAATTTATCCTCAACAAACATGGCCACACTTGCTAAATTAGGTTTTAGCTGAAGGAAGTGCTCTGTTGCTGCTTGGTTTCAGTGTTGCACTTGCTCTTTGTAAAGATTGGCTCTTGTTCCCAAAATTGAATAATGTGCAGATGTTATAACTTTTGTACTCAAACGACAGTTAGAATTAACTGCCTCTTCATGTCCTAAATGATTTGCCTTCAACCATTACTGACAGTCTGCATCCATGTGGAACTATGAGCTTCTGCTTCCAGCCCTTTTGTATTCAGGATATCAAGACATTGTAAGCACATGGCTGGCTGCATTTTTGTGTCCTGAATGAATTCAGAAGTTTGATTGTATGACTTGAACACAATTCTGTAGCCTCTAGGCTGCCATGTAGATTCTAGCTTCTTTTGCCGACAAAGATAAGTCAAATGTTTATCAGACCCCTGGCCTCAATAAAACCAAGAATTCAACTTTGGTTGGCTTTACATTCATTTTTGTGTCTGTTAATACAACGTTTATAGATTCATGTTATGACAAAAAAAATAACCTTTACCAGAACTTAATATTTTACCACTTTAATTACATCAAAATAACTAAGTAAAGCTCCAAATACTAAGAAATTGTGACTTCACCAATTTATGATGACTGTGGTGCTGACTGCTCAATATAAAAAATGGAAATGTAATGAAAAATTGACACTTAATTCCCACTGCATTGTTACAAGTGCAGTTTGTTCATTTGCATGCAGTTAAAACCCTGGAAGATCACAACCATCGCCAAATACTCATATATGTGCTGACACCAGAGGAAGTCCCCTTGCTTTGTATCTGTCAAAGTGGGACAGTACAGTCCTAAAGTACTGTAATTCAGTTATCTTTGTCCCTGGAACACCTAGGCAGCCGGTTAATGCCGCTGAAAACCATATGAGGGCAGTAAAGGTACAACAAAGCGTGGTTAGAAAATTAGGCCTGCCCCTGTATTATGAAAGTTACCTTGATAAGATTTACATGACATAAAAAACAGCAGCATCTCTAAAGCAGCACCACTGCAGGACCTTCACAGAACATCACAGTCATTTATATTCTGATATTTAAGGTTTTATACTACTGAAAATACTTTTACAGCTATACAGCAAAAACAAATAGGATTATTATAGGCTAATATTATAATGTCCATATAAAACAATCTGCAGTCACATCAATAATCATGAGAATGAGGAAATAATGTCATCACGCCTGGCCTGTCCGCTTGGTTCCGGCTGGATCCGTTTGAAGGCAGTTTGGGAATATTTAAACGGAGCGCAGAGCCTCCACAGAGCCGTTTTAGAGGGGGGCGGAGACAAGCTTGCTTTGCATCTATAGATGGTACAGTGGCAGATATGCAGGATGACTGCAGGCTGCTTTACATACGAGCTTTATTAAGTTTACAATAGGGATTTTAGAGGGTCTCTCTCGGTTCTTCTGGAGCATAATGGGTAGATGTTAATCCAGTTGCACAGGGGATTCACACCGCCCGGAAGGCATTTTTTCCGTGCCGCAGAACTAACCACAATCATCCACGACAAAGTGACACTGGAACTCGAACAAGTGACCCGCCTAACATAGTTGTAAGTGCGGCTATTTGAGAGAGACGCGACATTGTAGCCAGGAGGAGACAACGGAGGAGACATCACACGGATAGCAGCCCGATTTTCCTGCGCATAACGTTCACTGGCATCTAAGGCGACTGTTTCCCCGCGGGGTGGCCATGAAAAGCGGACTGTCTGGTTTGTTTTCTCCATCCACTGCCAACCTACATGAAACAAAGTGCGCTGCCCGTCACCTCAGCCGCGCTGTGAGGTAGATCCAGGCGGTGTACCCGGGTTTATGTCGTAAACATTTCTAGTCAAGAGTCCAGCTTCTCCCGAAATCATCATGAGGACCAGCGAGGAGACCGAGGGCTTTGACGCCGAGGCCTCCAACACGTCCATGATCTCCGGGGCCAGTAGCCCGTATCAACCCACTACCGAGCCCGTCCATGCGAGGCACATTTTTGGGGGCATAAGGTGCGACGTGGAGTACCTGAAGTCATACTTTGGAATTTTAAAGGTGGTTGAAGTGGTAAGATTGATCACGACCATACATTAATGCAGTTTTCAGAGATGTACAGCTTCATAAAAGTGAGTTAAACAAGCTGCAACCGGTGGATAACATCCACCATCCAGCCTCTAACATACTGTTGAAGTCACAAGTTGACATACACTTTAACCAAACACATTTAACTCAGTTTTTCACAACCCCTGACATCTAATCCTATAAACATTCCCTGTATTAGATCAGTTAGGATCACTGCTTTATTTTAAAAATGTGAAATGTTAGAATAATAGTAGAGAAAACAATTTATTTCAGCTTTTATTTCTTTCATCACAGTCCCAGTGGGTCAGAGGTTTACATACACTCAGTTAGTATTTGGTAGCATTGCCGGTAAATTGTTTTTCTTGGGTCAAACATTTCAGGATGCCTTCAGCAAGCTTTTTATAATAAGCTGCAGGAATTTTAGCCAGTTCCTCCAGACAGAACTGGTGGAACTGAGTAAGGTTTGTAGGCCTCCCTTACTTACACAGGCTTTTTCAGTTGTGCCCACAAATGTTCTACTGGATTGAGGTCAGGGCTTTGTGATGGCCACTCCAGTACCTTGACTTTGTTGTCTTTAAGCCATTTTGCCACAACTGTGGAAATCTGCATTGTCCATTTGGACAAGACCCATTTGTGACCGATCGTTAACTCCGTGGCTGATGTCTTGAGATGTTGCTTCAGTATACCCACATAATCCTCCTTCCTCATGATGCCATCTATTTTGTGAAGTGCTCCAGGCCCTCCTGCAGCAAAGACCCCCCCAGAGCATGGTGCTGCCAGCCCCTGGCTTCATGGTTGGATGATGTTCTTCTGTTTACAAACCAGAAGACATTTCTCCCAGAAGTAATTTTTGTCCCCATGTGCAGTTGCAAACCGTAGTCTGCCTTTGTTATGGCGGTCTTGGAGCAGTGGCTTCTTGCTTGCTGAGCAGCCTTTCAGGTTATGTCGATATAGGACTTGTTTTACTATGGATACAGATGCTTTGGTACCTCTTTCCTTCACTATCTTCACAAGGGCCTTTGCTGTAGCTCTGGGATTGATTTGTACTGTTCAGACCAAAGTTCAGTGAAACACAATGTGTTTCTTTCCTGAACGGTATGATGGCTGCATTGACCCATAGTGTTTATACTTGCGTAGTATTGTTTGTACAGATGAATGTGGTACCGTCAGGCATTTGGAAATTGCTCCCAAGGATGAACCAGACTTGTGGAGGTCCACAGTTTTTTTTTTTTCTTCTTCTTTTGATTTTCCCATGCTATCAACCGAGAAGTACTGAGTTCAAAGGTAGGCATTAAAACACATCCACAGGTGTGTCTTCTGTTGGCTCAAATGTTGTCAGTTAGCCAATCAGAAGCTTTTAAAGCCATGGCAGCATGTTCTGGAATTTCCAAGCTGTTTAAAGCAAACGGAAAAGCAAACGGATGTGGTTATACAGGAGCTGGTTTACCTTGACCTACATCCCTTTAGAGGTCATGTCAATCAGCGTTTATGCTAAATATGCCTACCCTATGACTTGTGAAGGTATAGACGTAAGGTTTTCAAGAATCACAATCCAGCCTCCTGCCAAACAGTGTATTTTCAGTAGTGTTATTTTTTTGTCTCTTGTGATAAGCAGTATTTTAAGGAACTCTAACATCTGGTTTGCAAATAGGCAGAAAATTATGTGTCACTGTTTTTGCCGCCCGACTGTCGCTCTGTCCTCGGTTTAACAGTTGTGGCTGTACTCAACAATGCACCAGGTGCTACATGCGTATTTGATAAGGTCCTGAAATGCTCTTGGAGTAGAAATAAATATTGTCACATTTTCTTTGTCAGGAAAAAAACCCCCCATACTTTCCTTGTGTTTTAAATCAGCACATCGAAACCAGATGTTGAACTGTGAGAAGAGGCAACAGCAAAGCAAAATGAGGACTCCCAGAGCTCTGACAGTTCACCAGAGGAGGAAATATCTATCAAGCCAGAACTATTTCTCTTCTTCTGGTGCTGAAAAGAAATCAAACACAGGCCTGCACACTGGTACACATGAGGTACAGTCTTGTGTCCTCAACAGGAAAAACCATGGAGTTGAGGAAACTAGTAATTACCTCTCACAGTGTTCGCAGATAGCACCAGCAAATGAAAAGTCCAAACCTCTGGAAGATAACACTCCATAGTTCTGGTTTCTCTGCTTCACCTTTAAAACCTTTAGCTCTAGAAAAGCTTTTTTTATGTTGTGGGTGGCTGAGTGTCCCAGTGGTGTGAGAAAAGAGCCACAATCAGCGTGTGGAGTGGCACACACCTGTAATGTTTACTGAGAGGAAGCCATCTGTCATCAGCATAGGAGAAATTTAGAGCAGGCAGCAACTAAAGGTTCATATTCACATACTAGTTTTAATGCAAATGCTACAATATTGTCTGTGGCTTAGCTACTATTTCTGTATTTCTTTAGCATTGCTTTAGCTGCACCATTCTGTACCAAAAGAAGTTCAGAAGTTAGATAACGAAACATGCACACAATATTGCAAAGCTACTGTGTATTCACTGTGCACATTGTAACAAAGATAGAAAAGTCGTGCAAATATTGTAATGGTGCATGTGCATTTTAAAAGACTTCAAAACGAATGCAAACCCGTTTATGTACTGTACGTGGAAGTTCCCAAATGTTTTTCGGGTACATGCAGGTAAATACAACAGCTATGGTACGGCTGAGATAAATGTGAGTATAAGCAAAGGTCCTATTACTACTAAGAGCTAGTCATATCTCTTTCAGTGACTGGGGCAGGGCTGATGAAAGTTATCCAAGTTTACATTCAGTATCTCAGAGGAGGCCTACAAGGCTCGCTGCCAAACGTTAATAGCTGCAGCTTTTACTGCTCTGTTGCCTAATCACTGGACTCGGTGCCGGCTGAGTCTTTGTGGCTTTGAAATGTTTTTTTTTTAGAACTCATAATGATAACACAAAGCTGACGGCATGCAAATGTGCTGTCCAAGTAGTACATGTAGCACAGTTTCTGCTCAACGCTCCTTTGCTGAGGAGGTGTTGCCTCATATCACTGTGTTAAAAGGAAATACTTCTACAGCTGACAGCACAGTAGTCCTGTGTTGTTAGCAGATTATCTTGGTAAAGAAATCGGTCATATGGAGTAATGATTAGCATCAGTGAAATATTGACTTTGCAGATCCAAACAACCGTGGAAGAATGAGGAGCTCTGCTCTATGAAATACAGGCTGAGTGAGATTTAATGCTTCACTTATTCCTCTGGCCTTTGGTCTTTATGACTTTGCTAAGGTAATGTTTATTATATTACGTCCACCCTCTGGCCTTGTTTGCACTGAGGTGATTTTGGTGTTTTCTGTTTTTGCACAGATCAGAGAGCTAATAAACCTGTGTACTTTTTTTCACACCAGAGCACTAAAATACATTAACACAGGCTTTTAGAGAGCCTGTCAGCTTGTCATTCCTTGGATGAATAGATACACAGGCTGTTGTTGACCCTGCGCTGATTAGACGCACCCTCCCAAGTAACACGTAACCTGATCAGCCTGATGTTATCATCCTGTTAGCAGGTCCGTCTTTGTTTCTGTGCTGTGCCAGGGTCAGCAAAGTCTAATTGATATTCCCCTCATTCCCCTCCATGCTGCCAGGAATTTGATATCCTGACACTACACCTTTCAACTTCCCTTTGTCCCATCAAACCTTATGCAGTTCTGTCATGATGGTTTGTGAACCTATATTTCCCTTTTTAAGCGCTGTTCCGACAAGTGGTAATTAAAAACTCTAATTCTTTCTGTGAGCGTTATGTTATGAAGCTTCCAGATGTCCCCTAATGTCAGTGAGCACTTCCTGCTCTGAGAGGTAGAGACACCATATGCTCCATTCTCTTCTGGATGAACCATTACTTACTCTGAGCTTTTGGGGAAGACCACAAGAACATTGTGCATGCATGTAAGAAGGCATGCATGCTTTGCCTGCACACACCATCACTTACAGTAGATGACTGTGGGCTGCTGCTGAAGCTTATGTAATATTTTGAGTCATTCTTTTATACCTCCAGTCTCATATACTGCTAGGACAACAGTATGTAATTACACAGTCTTTTTTTATCTCCCTTAAATTTCTGTTAGCATCAGATGGTGAATAAGAAGGGGATCTGAGTCCAAGAGTCCTTCAAAGACAACTAATAATGTGTGTAATCCCACGCAGACAGATGTCCATGCATGTGAGAGAGAGAGAGAGGAGAAAGAGAGTTGATGTGCATGTTCTTGCACCTACTGTATGCCTGCATGATAGACAGGTTGTGAAGGTGTGAGTTTATCCAGTATGGTGCTTTGTGATCCCCACCCCCTCCCCTGGGGCTGCCTGACACCTGCTGCACAGAGACTTGGGGAAAGCAATATGCTTTCTTCAAGAGGCATGACATCACCCATTAGCCCAGGCAGCAGATGGATGATGGGTGTAACCGTTTCAGTTGTTACATTCACAGAGTCCTATTGAAATACATGCTCCAGTGAGGTTTCAAGAGCCTCCCAAAATTCATCTTTTGTGTTAATGATGGTTAAGTCAGCCCAATTGATTTGCTTTCTTTTGTCTTTACTTAAGTGTGGCGCACTTAATGTGCAACACATGTTGTGTTCATATCTTACTGTTGTGTCTCCTGTGAGGTGATGTGTCAGAGTTTTGGAAGCTTGGACAGAAGAGTCGGAAACAGGAGAGTTCTGTACTGGCAGTTTTCCAGTTGCTCATGACACTGGATTACCAGATTTAACTCTTGAGCCACTGAAGGTTGGGGGATAGGAGGTGTAGGCTCTTTTGCTCATGAGACGTTCAGCAACCATGTCAATAGAGGTGCAGCTTTCCTCACTGAATTTAAATATTGGGTTTCACAAACAATCTCACAATATGTTAAAGTAGCATCCTCATGGTTCTGTTGCTGTATGTCTCTGGGTTATGGACAGCTCTGAGCCCATTGGTAATCTGTGTGTGTGGTTTAGCTGGGGTCTAGATGGCAGGAGAACACCTAAAGAGCCGAATTCTTCCCATTCTGTGGTTTGCTGATGGATATTGGCTGGAGGCAGGCACCAACACAGGCTGCCAGGAGTGGGTCTCATTAGATGGGCTTATGGTCCGTTCGTTGGACAATCACTTCATCATCTGGAAAACTTTGAATTTCAGCATTAACAAACACTCTTTTATAACATTTCTTATATCTGACACTCTTGAATCATGTAATGTGTTTCTAGCATGACTTTGCAAATGCTCTTTCTCTTTCCCACTCTGGTCTCGTCTTTTTTTTTTTCTGTCACTTCAGGTCCTGTCATTTATTGGATTCATCTGCATCGAGACCATCATGATGTGTTCTCCCTGTGGAGGGGTCTACTTCTTTGAGTTTGTCAGCTGCAGTGCCTTTGTGGTGACAGGAGTCCTCCTCCTGATCTTTAGCCTCAACCTGCACATCAAGGTGCCACAAGTCAACTGGAACCTCACGGTAAGTACAGGGAGATGCAGTGTGTCATTGGACCAGACTCAAGATATATTTGACTCGGTGGAGAAGACAAGGTTCAATGTTGCCACCAGGATGTGCATTGTCAGCTGAAATCACATGAGCTGGCGGGTGTTCTCCAACAGATGCTGGTTGCCTTTCGATATTTGCCTACATATACATGTGTTCTGAGCCACAGCCAAGTTTCTTTTACAGAGGAGAGTGGAAAAACATTTTAAACTATATTTCCAGGAGCCACACAGCTTACAGTTCATATCGTAATAAAGGAGGTGATATAAAGCCAGATGTTCAAATCCTACCACAGCTGTTAATATAGATTTCTTTCTAGTATCCTTGGTGAGGTATTCGACCTCAAACACGGAGAGGATATGCCTTTGGCTTCTACTTGTGACAAAATCAAAGCTTTTTACAGTCGTAAAGAGGCCAGAGCCAATTTAAAGGTGCTGAGTTAGGAACTTTTTCCAGATACCTGTGACCGGTACAGTCCACATAATCTAAAATCCTCCTGTTCATTCTTTTGTGAGAGGTTCTGTTTCTCCTAAGGCTGGCTGGCCTTTCTCATGTCAGCTTTGACAAATAGATTTTTTTTTCCCGTTCAGGTGATTAATAGTTAGAAATATGTGATTAACACATATTTTGTGTGTTTTTTTGTGCACAGATTTGAGTTAAAGTACTGTGCGTTTGGTTGTGGGTTGCCATTAGGCTCACAGTGGAGGTTGTATTTCAGAGACGTTGCTCTAGTTGGCTGCAGTTTGACTCACTGGGATTGATGGAAATCATGCTGCTATGCACAAAATATAGTCTTTTGTATTTTACTAAAATGAATAGATATTTGGAGGACAAGTGTTTATGACTCCTCTACTGTTCCCCTTTAGTGACTCAACTGTTGCATGACTTGCAGTAGGTGTTGCTTTTCTGTGCTGACTCTTAACTGTAGCAGCTAATAAGACCATAATGCTTGCCACAGTGTAGGCTCTACCCCACACTGTTTGTCTGTCAAGTTCAAAGCTGCGCCATTTACCACTGGGCCCTTGGGAATTGCACCATGAGTAAGCATTCCCAGCATTAACCCCTTCTCTGTTTCCCATCTGAATGCTGTGGGCTGACTTTAATATTATGTCCCCTGTGGAGCGAGTTGTTTTATCATGCTGTTTACAGTCTTGGTAGGAGGGTTTGGATTGTACAGTTATGTGCTATATGTTTCCATCTCCTCCAGTTCACCCTCAGTACAGAAGGGTTTGAAACACAGGTCCTCACCCCCACCTCCAATGAAAGCACTTCTGGAACCTTGTTGTAAAACCATTCTGTGACTTTTACTGATTAAGTTGAGCTTTGGAGTTTAATTTGCATGCGCACTGTGTGTTAGTCTCTTTGCTGAATCTACACCCACAGCTGATGGTTTTATTAACTATAGTCACTAATCTGTCATCAGTTTTACCCTGGTGGCGTTTACTTTAGCTACAAGTGGAATCCAAAAAGGCTTTCTTGGTTGTCACAGCTGAAACTTGCCCACCCAAGCAGACAAAAGACATGAAATGTTTGCCTACGATCTTTGTCGGTCATAAATGTGAAAGCCAGAGAGATGTTTCCCTCCTGTGTGAAGCTCTCTGGCCCTGTGTGATTTGCTGTAACTGTCAAGGGAATAGATTTCATCATTTGTGTTCTGCTGCATCCCCTAAGCTTTTCATAGTTGCATGAGTATTTTTGAGAGCACAGTAACGTAAAATATTAGTTTATATGCTACTACCAACCACTACAGAACAAAAATTCTCTTTTAGCCAGAAATCCAGGCCCAAACTAAGTAAAACCGTTCCTGCGCTTGAGTCCCTTCTGATTCCAGGCTCCATCCTTGTCTCTATTTTTAGGGGAACTCTTTGGAGACTAAACATATTCACATACAGAGGCACAAGTGTGCATACACTCCTGTTAGAAAATAAGCAAACGTTGACAGCATTTTTGGGATTGTAACTTGGTTTATACAGTTAGAACCACCGAGCTTTGTGCTTTCAGACTATCTTTAGTTTGACTCGTGATCCAACGGGATGTCATCCTAGATTAGGTAGCTGGTTGCTGAGGGGTGGAGTACAGTTTTCAAATGTATTTTTAATTCAGATGTCAAGAATCAACTTTGTATATGTTTTTATTTTGAAAGTTCTCTGCTCAGCAGAAAGAGAGAGAGAGAGAGAGAGAAGACTGAAACAATGATACAAGCCAGTAATAAACCAGAGAGCCAGTGGTTTGGTCCGGTCTGTACTTGTGTTATTTAAGGTTTCACAGAGTGCTGCCCTGGTTAAAATGTGGAATGTGGGAGAGAGCAAAGCAGAGAGGCTGACTGGATCTGGACAGAATATGGATTTGAAAACTATAGGCTCACTTTCCTGCACTGGAACGCGAATGTATACAGTATTTCCTGTCTAACCAGTTGGGCTAGATAGATGCAGGTGTGTGTGTGTGTGTGTATTTGTACTGTGCCTGCAGTGTTTGTAGTGTGTGCATCGGAGTGTGTTATGATGTATGCTGGGTGTCTGTAAGTGTGGTTTGTGGAGTTCTGGGTTTGGTAGAAGGTTAGGGTTATCACATGGTGTACACTGAGTGTGCTAGTGAGCATGTGGTGTTAGTGTGTTACTGAGTAATCTGCAGGGTCTGTGGCAGTTTTTATGCTTTGCCACATTGTGTTCTTTGTCCGTTGTGCGCGCGTCTGTTTCAGTGTTTGACATCTCCGTTGTACGAGTCCCGTGTGTCATATGAGAAGCCGTATTTACCATTATTACAGTCACGAGGGCCGTGCAGCAGTCATGCTAAGCACCTTGTTATTAACCCTTTCCTGACCGTCTGAGCCTCTGAAAACAAGAGAAACATCAGAGGGGAAGTCTCTGATTCATTCTCCTCCTGTGTAAAAAGGTGGGGGATGGAGTGAGTTTTGCATGTGGAGAGGCTGTATGTGTTTCTGTGTGTAATATGAAGGGCTAGGCGATTTAGAATATTTGCTGTTGGCTTTGTTCTCCAGTGGCTAAAAAAGCATAACAGGATGCAGTCTGGCTGCGTTAGAGGACTGTTAGCAAACTCTTTGTTCAACATTATCAAGGATACCCTTCCTGGAGCAGGGCTTGTTGCTATGACTAATAATGGGTGTTTTTAAGTTGTGCCCAAAAGGCCTCACATGCTTCTGTACTCTGTGAAAGAGTAACTGTAGCTATAGGCCAAAATATGTCCATGGTGCCATGCACTGACAACTGGCCTCTAATACTTGGTAAAATTCATAGTCCTTTGTTCAAGTTTACCAGACTGTATTCTGTTATATTTGAAGTATTTATATAAGACGTTTGGGTTTTCTTTTAGAATACATGTTTATATTCTTCAAAGCAAGGAATCTAGAAAGGTACTATTTTTGGTATTGGTACAGAAAATCTGTATTGTGGCTGTAATAGTCATTTCAAATGGTAATTATCTATAAATTAAACTGACACACTCATTCATATACAGTAGTCATTTCATTTCATGCTTCCACAATGACATGATGAATGTCAAAAACTTATTTTCAATGTATTCTGCCTTAGCTGCTGCCCTCCTGAAATACAGCACTTTGTCTTTAAAACTAGTGCTGGCGTATTGTACAGCTGGAGTCTAATGGTGTCTTCTATGTCTTTGTGTCCTTCCATAGGACCTGGTTAACACTGCTGCCAGTACCTTTTTTTTCTTCTTGTCATCTCTTGTGTTGGCCTGCATCAACCACAACACTGGAGCCGAAATAGCAGCAGTGGTGAGTAAAGTATGAATACAAACAGCCCAACGGGACCCTTTGGCACAGAAGGGTCTGGGTCGGGTTCAGACACGTGGATCAAACTTTAGGCTAGATGGCTGGGGCACTCAAATTTCTGCTTCCTTTAATGATAAGGGGGAAAATACCATACAAACTGAACTGCGTTGGGTTTGGATATCATATACTATCAGCTTGTCTGGTTCGGGTTGGGTTCAGATGCCACACTCTCAGGCATGGGTCAGGTTCAGACAAAAATATTTGGCCTGATCCATGCTATAGTGGTGAGTTTCAGAACCAACGTGCCTGCTGGTTCAAAGCTGACATCTATAAACTTTGCCCTGGGTAGTCATGGTAGTCATCCCATCAAAGCAGATCACAAAAGATAGACACTGTGTATACATATTCATTCATTCATTCAGGTACCTGCATATGTCTCAGGGCGAGCCGAGGTGACTGACCAGCTTCTGCATAGAAGTACTATAACATACGTACATGTCATTTTTTGAGTTTTAGGTAGATGATGGATTTAGATGATAATTCACCATTGTAACAATGTAGTTAAGTCGAACAAGGAAAAGCCTGCCACGGGCTCTTTAACTAAATCAACCTAAATCAAGTTTGCAAGGGCATAATTCATGAACTTTGTGTCCATGTTACTTTTAGTTTTTCATTTCCTATTCAGATTCAGACATGGTTCTTTTTCTTCCTGTTTGCACTTGTATGCAGATATTTGGTTTCCTGGTGACAGGCGTCTATGGCATAAATACCTTCTTGGCAGTACGGAAGTGGCGCCTTGGCAACGGGTGTCATGGGGCGGCTCAGGCCAGCGAGTACATGCGAGCGCGCACAGCATCTCGTGGAGAAATGGAGGCACGACCTGAGCTTGCATGAGCACTAGCAGACTAAGGGAAAACCACACTACTGGCAGATAACTGAGATGGACATTGCTCTATCTCCAGCACAAGTCTTGGGCGGAACAGCCGTCTCACGCTGACCACATGCGCTTGGCTTCTCATCAGCCTGCAGCCTGCTCAGCTGCTGAAGAAATCTTCATTTCATAGCCACAGAGAAGGTCTGTGGCCTTGTCTACAAGGCATCCTTACTGCAGTTACACACAGAGACTCTAGAGTGAAGAGCTTGAGTCAGAGTTGAAGATATTCTCTGGAAAACATTTCTTCTGCGTTTTAAAATCGGTGTGAAGACTTCCACGAAGAACCAAAAGTCTGATTTGACTCAGGCTGTGGATCTTACCTTAGAGTTTTTTGTTTCACTGTGAATGAAGCAAAAAAGGTGAGCTTTTGTACAGTTAACGTCATGCCGCTGTGTGTGAACTCTGTGGTAATAAATATGGATCCAGGAAGCCACTGGACAAGCAACATACAGTAACCTGCAGTACAGCAGAAGCGCTGTGGCTTTACATTTCTTTCACAGATACTGACGGCAGCCTGCGGACAAGGCTGACAGTGAATCTAAAGATTACACAAACTGACTTAAGAGTTCGTTTCTCCTTTGTCTTGATTGACTTAATATGTGACCTTTAGCTACTTTTAAGATCTTTGTCTTCAGCTGTTATACACTAAAAGCACAGGGTTATTCTCAACTGCAATAATGGACAGTACAAGGAAAATGTCCAAATATTTTAAATGAGTGATAAAGATGATCTTTACATTACAAATTAATCACATGGTTTTGACACAGTTGTTAGACTAAAATTAGAATTCCTAATACTCAGTTATATTTACAGTATCTGAGGTTTTGTGCAGACGATCCAAACAATATTCAGACTAGCATTCCTCAGATTTGAATTCTGACATCATCACTGTGAGCCAGGTGGAGGTTACATCGGGCAATATTCAAGTAATTGGCATCTTGTTACTTTTGCACAAACCCAAGGCTTCAGGTAACACAAAAGGCAGTGAGATTCAATAGGCGACCTGGACAAGCTCAATGCCCTTAGCCTATATGCTGTATCTCAGGTACTGACACACTCCTTCTATCTTTAATTCTTAAAAAAATATTTCAAATGAAATCACAGGGTGCCTCGACCTGAATGCTGTATTTCTTAATGCCTTCTCAATTGCTAGACATCATGGGGACTATAATAGATAATGACATTAACTGATAATTAATGCAAAATTAAAACAAGAATTCAAAAAAGTAAGCAAGTGAAAGTGAAGACAATGGGATGGAAATCTGGTATACTTGGCATTATTGTATGTGGTTGACTTAAATGTATTTGTGTGTATATATAGTATATTATCACGAGCTTCATGTATTATGAAATCTCTGTAATTCCACATCGTAGACTTCTTACACGACAGTGCAAAAGAGATTTCTTTGTTTAGCCACTGTACTTGACAGGCAAATACAAGGCTTCATCTTGGAAAAATCACATTTGCTTTTTAATTAAGGAAAAAATGCCAACTTAATGTTTGGTGTTACATTGTTCTAATGTACTGAATCAAAGCTACAGCTGCACATCTGTTATTTTTGTTCTTATATGAGGCATTAGGGACTAAATCAACTCTATGGCTCCATCTGCTGGTCTTAACCTAAACTGCACTCATTTGGACTCAGTGGCCTGAGTGTACACAGCCTGATAACTGCAGTAGTGTGTGTACAGGGGAGGGATCAGAAATGTGTTTGATTGTGGTTTAAGTGTAAAAAAATAAAACCAGAATCAAAGACTTCCACAGTACATATTATGGGGCTTTTTTCATGTTTCTAAATAACTTGTATCAGGTTTTACTGCTATTTCTCTTGGTTTTGTGACTGAAGTAGTTGTATAAGACAATCACATTTCTATTTATCTCTGTCATTTACATTGATGGATTTCCTTTTGAGTGATACTACAACAATGTTCATGTAAGCATTTGTACAGCAACAAATTCATTCAAGTGCATTATGCTAATTGATAATATAAACTGACCATATTTGTCAAACACTATCAAGCCGCAGCTCTTCCTATGTACAACTTCATTCTGCTTTAAGAATTTGTATTTCGAGAAAGAAAAGCCTTGCACTCGAGTTTCCAGACTGCAAGATGAAATGCTCTTCTGTTTCCTTTTAATTTTGTGTGCTTTAATAGTCACAATGTTTCTTTTGCAGCATAGAGCCGTACGTAGCTGTATTTTTGTATTAAAACATTCTATAGTAGGCTTCACATCAGTAGTGACCATTTAAATAAAGTGATTTGCACATTATAGAAAATAGCTTGTTTTTATTCAAACATTTTTACACAAGAGGGCAAAACAGTCACTAACAAACTTTATACTGTATGTGTCAAAACTCCAGTGAGAGGCCTCATTTGTCAAAAGGTTCTGTATTATGAGATTTATGTATTGTTTACACTCGGCACATGGTTGTAGGTTTGTTTGTTGTTTTTTTTGCCCAGTGCAAACCGCAGATTTCCAGTTTTGGTGATATTGAATTTGTCAGATAATCTAAGTATATAAAGGTTTCCTTGTGGATGCAATTTAGGGGCATACTGTAAACCTTTATTGGAAAAATACATGATCACAAAGTTCAAACTAAATCTTTAATATAAACGAAGCATCTTAAGTACCAAACTTCCTGAACTCTCTCATACAAGGCACGGTGGTGAATAATGACTAGGGAGGCAGTTTGACTATTAATATGCCAGTTGCTCACATCAGTTGAAGTTCCACATAGAAATCCGAGGCCTCTGACGCCAGGTTTCCGCCATCTATTGTTAATTTACAGTGCTCTTCTAAGACTCATGCAGTGTAGCTTGTGTTACATCTAGTTTCTCAGCAGTGGAAGTGGAAGAACTGAAAAAACAAGTGAATACAAAGCAAAAAGATGCTTTTTAAAAAAGGGATTCACGTATTGGATATTAAAATAATACTGAAGTGGCTAAAATGCAGTGTTATGCGTGCACTCACACACACACACACGCTGGTTGCATAGGGTACAGTACAGCAGACAAACACGCATAAAAGCAGAAGCTCTTCAAAACTACACTCCAGTAGAGTTAAGACAGTTGGACAGAGGTTGTAACCAGCCAACCTGCTATCTGTTCTACTATATACAGTTTTGTGTATAGTAAAATTGTGAACTTATAAATGTACATAGGCCTCCTGACTTTAACTTTCATTTAAAAGGGTTGGAATATTTTTATTACAATACCAGTTAATTATTAGTTCTCTGTTACTATTGGTAGTTGAAAACATCTAAATAGATCCACAGGTACAGGTCAGAAGTCAGTATTAGTCATTATTATTTCAGATTTAACATACTGTAGGTTCCCACACAAGCAGCTTCTAAGAACACGGTACAGAACAATTTCACAGCTTCATGATCATTTAAATATCGGGTTGACAGTGGCATTTACATATTTCCCCAAATCCTTTAAAACACTGTGCATGAGATTGGGCATGAATTAGTTGAGACTGAATATGATTAATGTGTGAAATGCATTTCCATCCCTGAATGTGCAGCAAAAAAAACAAAAACCATTTCAACTGCAAAGGATCTGGGGCTTGTGTGGGTCTTTAGGACTGCACGGAGTCTCCACCAACTACTAAGGAATCAAAATACTTAGCCAACAAACAATGTGACCTTGATTTTTGATTTCAGTACAAACTGGTATTAATGTAACCTTGTGGCATGAGGAAACATTTGCAGGTCACTGCAGATGGACGCTCAGCAGCAGCAGCACATTTCTTTTGCTCTGGGTTGTTTTGTGCCGCTATTTAGAACCGCTGGTGAAGATTCCTGTGGTCTCAGTCCGAATCAGAATCTGAGAACTCGTCTAGAAAACAAGTGAAAAACACTTCTGGTATCAGAATGAGTGTTAGTTCTCTGTGTTTCTGTGTGCACTTTCTGTTGACACATTATATGTACTATAGGTCAAATAGTGCACATAACAAATCGAAAATATGGTGCACTTAAAGACACTTCCATCTTTTAAACCATGTGAGAACATTAAAGATAAAACTATTGAGACCGAGTCCCGGCAATGCAGAAAACAATTATGGGCACAATTTAATGAAAATACACAGTTAATATCAAAATGAAAAAGGTTTAACTTGGCATACATTAAAGAATTTTATTACATTTAAGTGGCCAGTTTATACTGTGAATTGCAGCACAGACCCAGTTTCTAACTAAATTACACTCAGCCTAGTATTCAGAACTTGTTGTACCTCAGTAATTGTATTTACATCTTTAGAATGCAAAAAAAGAAAAATTACCTTGCTGTCTTGATGGCTCATCATGGGACTCCCCTCCTTGCTTTAGGAAATTTGCCAGCTCATTAAAAATTAGATAAAAATCTAAAGCAAAAACAATAGTGGCAATGAACCCGAATACCTGTGAAGAGAGGTATAAGAATGCAGTGGAAAAACTCCGGTGAAATAGAGGCATGGTTGTTGGACAAATTTGAAGTGTGCTGCATGTATTAATTATGCCGAAGTAAGCTATGATGAGAAAGAGTCGACCTTACCCCAGCAGCCTTGGAGGCGCCATCTGAATATCTGGACACTGCAATGATGGAGATGGTGAAAAAGATAATGGAGGCCGTCACACATCTCATGAAATCCTTTGAAAGAACAGAGTCAGAGGAAAAATGTAACTTTATGTTGCCATTTTCTTCCTTTAGCACTTGGAGGTGTTCATGCACAAAAGCTACATTTCTATTAGAAATTCTCTCTCACCATAAGAGGCCAAAGGAAACCTTTAAACCTCTCATTGAACTTGGTCGAGTAAGCAAACAACAGGAAAAGAGCAGCCAGGAACTCCAGTAGGGGGACTGTCACAAAGGCTGCTGCTGTGGATGCCGCGAAACACACGAATGATACCAAGGACAGAGCCTGCAAAGACGGTTAAACAGAGGGAGAAACGGCTGCAACATGTACTGTATGTTTACATCAATGAGACACTGAAGAGGACACTTACTGTATCAGTCCAACAGTCTTTACATTGTTCATTTCTAAACACTTCAAAGCTAAAGGCAATTTACTTTTTTATCCAAATTATAACTACTATATTCTTCTTTGCTGTCACGCTGCCTCAAAGCCTGTGTGAATTACAGCTTCAGGCCAACTTCCTGTAGGAGATACAGCTGCTAAAAGCCAATGTTTATTCACCCAAGCTCATAGTCTGTTACACCAAATCCCCCTCTCTCTCTCACACACACACAACTGTGCAAACACCTTGAAACTCAAAGCTGTAATAATGAAAGATGTTTAAAAATGCACAATGCAGGTAAAGTGAGTCTGCTGTGTTTGCTTCCATTAAAAGAGCCAGGTGCATATCAGTACAAATGAAAGCAAGTCCAGACACTATAATCTCAAACTGATCCGGCCATCTTGTTTTGGTCTCAGTCAGTCGTCCTACGCCAGCCTGAGGGTGGGAAGCCCACCTTGACTGAACCTTAACTGCTAAAATGCAGATGCTGAACAGCGTCCTGTCGGGGATCCAGTGAGGTTCTGGTCTGTGTTGCACTGGAGGAGCAGTGTAGTACAAGACATCACATCGGTAATACAAATTCTTTGTTTACTTCATATTGGAGTGAGACTACACCATGCAGGAGGTTTGAACCATGCTACAGCAGCAAACTAGTAGTATTATTGTCAATTTCAGCATTTTAACACCAACTTGATCGTGGTAATAGTGAAAAAATGGTCAGAGCTTCAAGATGAGATCATCAAAAGCAGCAAATTCTCACATTCAATAAATAAATTCCTGATTTTTTCAGTTTCTACCAAATAGGTAGGAGGAGCCAGACTTTGCACATTTACCACACCTGCATAGGAGGTTACAGTATATGACAAATATCCCAAAGCGCTGAGTGTCTTCTGCACAAGTTCAACCAATGTGTGTACTCTCACCTGCATGCACATAGCAGGCCAAACATCTTCTATCATCAGCAGAAGCCAATACATGTTTAAATGGGTTACAGAAAGATCAGGGTCACACTGTGGGGTGGCCGTAAAGAGGCTGTATTGTGTGTGTGAGTGCAGTGGGCCGTGCAGCTCTACATCCACACGGTGGGAACAGGCTTCATGTCATGGAAACAGAACGATGGATGCGACTGGGAGGAACACGTCTGCTCTCTCACAGCCCAACATGAGCTGAAGTGTCACATGACACAAATGTGAGGGGTCATAGAGTTACAGCAAAAAGACCCTCCCCTCAAATATCTGCTAGTGACCCGACCCACCCCACCCCCACCGCAGGCGCACAGTCTTTCAGTTCCTGATTTTTGGAAGTCCACTTGGACACTCAGTAAAAACAGATTATAGCTTCTATCCTATATAGTATTCAGACCGTTATTCATCTCTGATACACTAAACAATGAACAAGATGGCCAAAGCAGTCTTCCTGCGGTGTGTCGCTGCCCGTAGTCCAGTAAAAATGTTTATTCCAAGTTTTAGTGGTTTGTCGTAGTTGTTGTAAAACTTTACTGCCCCTCCCTTTATTAATGTAAACTTTGTGCCGGAAACTGACTGACCTGTACTCAAAATGAAGACTATTTCTAAACGTGCACCAAAGCATAGCATTGCTCTATCGGCCATAAATACCAGAAACCAGAAGGTAAACGAAAGAATCCAAAAAGCGGCGCGTCTCGGTTGTTGTGCGCACTAGGTGAAACAATGGCACAGTAGATTCGTTTTGTTTTAAAAGTTATTGGTTTGGTCGTTTCTCACCACTTCAGCAATAAGCAGCATTCCTTTCGTGGAGGAGGCGAATTCTTTGCTCGGAAGAATAGAATGCAGGACAGCCTGGCGCGGCCCATTCGGGCCGGGAGCCTCGATGTCCCCCATTGTTGAAAAAGATTTTCTCTCTCCTCAAACTTCAGCAAGCATAAGCCACAAGTAACGTAGCGGACTGAAGGCAAAACAAAAAGGGTATGTGGAGGCGTGAGGCGTCTCGGAGGTGGAAACGGAAACAATGATAGCGCGGAAACGCAGCGCCAACTCTCAAAGCGCAACATCTGCCTTCTCCAGATGTGAAATGCGATACCTCAATACAACACCCCTTCTGCAAACAGTACAATCGGAGTCGCAGTGAAAATGTCCACTCATTGTCACAAATCAACGAAAAATCTTTATTGATAGTTGTGCCTATTGATTCCAGCCTGCATTACCTTCAGTTATTCAGATTTCACGGCTGAGGGGGAGGGGGGGGGGGGGGGGTCAACTTGGTAATGTTTACATAGCATACTCTTATTTGGTTTCATGTGCTGCTTCATTTGGGAGTTCACTTCTGTGATTGTTGAATGTGATGGTCTTGAAGAGTGTGCAGCTGTCCATACACAGCAGGCCAGCAGTGAGGAGACCAACTATCTGCAAACACAGAGCAGATCTTAAAATAAACGCCCTTTAAGTAGCTGTTTTACTTTTATACAACATGAAAATATGTTTAACATGCCTATGTTTGGTGCCCATGTTTTTAACTTTCTTCAGCACAACCTCGTTTTTTTACCTAACAACTATTTGACTTTGACATACAACATCAACGTGCATGACCGTCCACTCACGAGGGCCACACTACATTGCAGCGCCCATGCCATCCAGCGTGTGGACCTCATATGGTTAGGCAACAACACATGCACACAGGACATTTAAACGTACCGACACTGTACAAGGGAAAATAAACACATCAAAACTAGCCCACACAACTGAGAATGCAGCTATAAAGAAATTCCTCTCACCCCTCCAACCAATGTGCCTGTGACAGTGTATGTAGTCAGAGCCAGCAGGCTCAAGACAACAAAGTAGAATGCTGCAAAGACTGAATTGAAAGCATCCTGGAGAGCAGAAAAGAGGAGAAGTTAAGAACAAGAACTTTTAAAAACAAATGTACAGTATATACCGCTCTCTTCAGCACAAGGCCTATGTGTTATGTTAGAATTGTATTTAAAAAAAACACCACCCACAATGAGAGGCCAAAAGAAGAAAGTCACCATCTTGTTGAGTTTCAGTAGGTACAGCAACAGCAGAAGCAAAGTGATCACAAACTCCATCACTGTAGCCGCAATGTACGTTGGTGTAGAAGCTGCAGCAAAACACACAAGTGCTACTAACAGAGTCACCTAAAGCAGAAAAGGAGACAATACACAGAAAAATGTTCCTGAAATAACAGAAAACAGCAATGATGAAACATTTAGATAAACTATTTAACTGAAATACCATGCTTCACTAATCGTCCAGCAGAGACCAGAACATTATCTCTTCTGACTCACTGGTTTCCTCCATACAACATGTTTGACATTACGTGCACTTCATGTAGAGAAAGAGGAACACATCATCAGCTTTCTGACTTACTGAGAGTTTCCACATTTAATTTTATACAAGCAACAGATCAGTTGCTCCTTTAGTCTCTAGAATGCTCGTGGTATGTTGACTTGAGTCACTATCAACGAGCTACTTAACCAAAAGTTGTGGTGTGAATTTGTTATTGCCTTATCCCATACATTCCTCTTTCTAATGTGTACAGGACATTTCCAAAATCTTCGACAGAAAAGTGCAAAACTGTCCAAGTTGCGATGATGTGCAAGCGTCTCACCGTCTCTGCTACTTTCAGGACTCCCCTTGTGGATTTGAGAAAAGCCGTGTCCACATCCATGGCTGTTAGTTTCTTGTGATTCTCAACTCACGGTGCAATTTCATTTGTAAAACTTGTTTCCTGAAACCAGCAGCTTCCTGAGAGAAGTTGAAAAGGAAATGATTGCATCTCTACACAAGTAGCTACTTTGCACGTTGTGCAAAAACAAAAGACGACCTACCTCATGTCCTCTGTCTCTTATAGGCAATACTACACGGACAATCAAAATTGTTCTGCCAATAATCCATTATAAGCAGGCAGAGTATGGCTAATTCTATTAAGAAAAAAAAAAACATTTGTGGCAGACGTATTTAAGATAGTAGCATTTATACGACATTATGATGGATAACTCAATTGCAACCATGTCACTAGGTGTTGGGTGACATGTTCACTATTAAATTCATAGTGAAATTACAAGCCAGGTATTTGTAGCCAGATTCATAGAACTCATTTATTCAATTTTTTTTCAAGCCTGTGTCTATAAGCACTTAATGCATACAGTTCTATGCACAGAAAAATTTTTTTTTTACATATACCAGACTCAGTCTTTGTAAAACACAATAAAAACACTTTTATTAAAAACACTTTTGCAGTGCAGCATGTATATAAACCCTCCCCTTTTCAATAAGTATGTAAAATATCAGACTGATCAGAATAAATGCATTTCCCTATGTGCTCTGCATCATTAAATGAATCATGTCTCTTGATGCAGTGACTTTCTAAAATGGGTAGAAGTTGTTTGGCTCATTAAAATCACAGCTATAAAAGTTATTTCCATAATGTTCTGCTGTTACAATTCCCTTGGTGTTTCTATGGCTTTTTTCAGCATTGTGTTGTCCACAAACTATCTTAAAACATCAAATATTTTCTTTTAAATAATAAGGCTGTATGTTACTCTGTAGAAAGGCACATCTCTAGGGTTTCCTTCCTGATTCTTCTCAGCAGTTTTATACTCAGTGAGGCCACTCGCACTTCCAGGGATCAGACACGGGCCCTTTAAGACACTTTCCCAACTTCTCACAGCCTGCAGGGGCCCAGTTCTGCAACAGAGAGCAGCCATCACAGTCAACACAAGAATGTAATACTTATTTGCTGATTTTTGACAAAAAGGTTTTGTTGGCACAATCATTTAAAATCAACTTTTTTTTTTTTTTTTTCTCAAAGGCACATCTGCTATGAGTACTTGTAGAGCTTTGCTGTGGCTACCTTCTCTGCCATAACTCGCTAGCTTTAGCTGTAAAACAGCGGTACAACATCCGCTTGCAAGTGCAACGCCTTATGGGAAACTCTTGCCTCAGGCAGTGAGTGCAAGGGCAGAATGCACGCAAGTAGGAAGGAGGTTGCTTGGGACGAGTAAAATTATTGGTCAGGTGTTTTTCAGCCCTGCTGCTGCCAGAGATATTTTTTATGTTGTCAGTGCATTTAATGTATTCATTACCATCAGGATGAAAAGAGAAATTCAAGAAATGTACCAAAATGCTTCTGGAATGAATCACCAACCCTACCTTTAAATTGGTCAAATTCATTTAAATGACAAATAGGAGGTAAAAGTAACCGGAATTCAAACTCAACAGTCATGTGTTCCGTCAGGCCATGTTACATTTAATACTGGAACACATTAGAAGTGTCAACAGTGAAAAGGTTAGACTGTAACAGACAGGCTTTTTAGCCTTTGGACCCACATTAGTATGGCACAGAACAAGGCGACGCTAAATAATTCTAACCCTACATAAAATTGTTCCCTTTGTTCACCACCAGGGGGCAGCAAAGTGACACAAATGAAACCAAAA